TGTGTAACAACAAAACAAAACAAAACTCATGCCTGTAATCTCAGAAAGACAGCTGTGAGTTTGAGGGCAGATTGTCTATAATCATAGTGAGTTCCAGATCAGTTTGGGCTACAGGGAGACCTTATCCCTGAAAATATAAAATTATTTTGATTTGTATTTCCTTTAACTTAGGGTGCGTATGTGGGCATGGATCACATGCTTACTGGACCTTTGTGTCTCCCCTTGGCAGTCACTGTAATCTGACAGCTCTTGCATTTTGCCCATCTTTAGCATGCCTTTTAACTTTTGTCCTTAGTTATAACAGTCTTTGTTAAAAAAGGAAGTTGACTTTTTGTCTTAATGGGCTATAGTTGTTTGTCCTTTTGAATTGTGCTCCACAGTGTGTATTAAAGCTCTTATTACTGTTGATTCAGGACATTGACAGAGCACTGCGTCTAAGTAAATAAACTGGGCTCCCTGTCTCCTTTGGGCCAGTGGATTCCTGTTTAGAGTTTGAATGTAAGGAGTATTTTGAAGTTCTACCAAAGTCTTGAGAGTAGAATTCTACAGATTGCACCAGGCTTTTTTATTTTTTGGTTTTTCAAGACAGGGTTTCTGGATAGCTATGGAGCTAGTCCTGGAACTCTCTCTGTAGACCAGGCTGACCTTGAACTCACAGAGATCCAACTGCCTCTGCCTCCAGAGTGCTGGGATTAAAGATGTGCACTACCACCACCTGGCCAGGCATCAGTCATTTTTTTTCTCTTTGAAAATTCCCTGTGTCTGTATAGAACATGTTCATATGAACATACAATTCTTTCCTTTAAACTGGAGATTTTTTCTTAAAGAAAATTACTAGGCCATGAAGAATAGATGAATTAAAATTATTTGTATTTGAAAACTAAATGTAGCCAAGCAGAGGTAGTACATGCCCTTAATCTCAGCACTTGGGAGGCAGAGGCTGGCGGATCTCTGAGGTCAAGGCCAGCCTGATCTACAGAGTGAGTTCCAGGATAACCAGGGTTACATGGAGAAACACTGTTTTGAAAAACCAAAAAATGGGGGCTGGAGAGATGGCCTGATGGTTAAGAACACTGGCTGCTTTTCCAGAGGTCCTGAGTTCAATTCCCAGCACCCACATGGTGGCTCACAACCATCTGTAATGAGATCTGGTGCCCTCTTCTGGCCTGCAGGTGTACATGCAGAACATTGTATACATAATAAATAAATAAATCTTAAAAAAAAGAAAAACCTAAAAAAAATTAAAAAGTAGGAAATAAAAATAAAAACTAAATGTTAAAGTAAAAGATATACTCTAAAGTAATACTTTTTGTTTTTTGGAGACAGGGTTTCTGTGTCCACGATGCTTGAATCTCTGTGTAGCCTTGAACTGGGATCCTCCTGCTTCTGTTTCCCAAAGACCTGGCTGAAAAAAAAAAACATACAGTTTTTTTTTTACTATGTAGTCTGGCTTGCCAAACACTGTCCATATAGACTAGACTGGCCTTGTCTCCTAAGTGCTCCAATTAAAGGCATGGGCCACTTTACTTGTCTTTTTTAAAAATTCCTGCTTCTATGCTGAACTGATTACAAATATTGTTACCAGTGGTAGAAAGATATTAGTATTTTGCTGGGCATTGGTGGCGTATGCCTTTAATCCCAGCACTCGGGAGGCAGAGGCAGGCAGATCTCTGTGAGTTCGAGGACAGCCTGGTCTACAGAGCGAGTTCCAGGACATTTCTTTTTCCCCTTCCTTCCTTCCTTCCTTCCTTCCTTCCTTCCTTCCTTCCTTCCTTCCTTCCGTTGTTTTGTTTTGTTTTTTGAGGCAGGGCTTCTCTGTAGACCCGGCTGCCCTCGAACGCAGAGATCTGCCTGTCTCTGCCTTCTAGTGCTGGGATTAAAGGCGAGAGTGCCACCACCTGGAAGAAATTTTTTACATTTAATTCTTTTTGTGTATTGTATGTGTTTGTATATGTATGTGCCACAGCACAAATGTGAATGTCAGAGGGAAACTCTCTGGAATGTGTTTTCTGCTCTCCATCTGGGTCCACCGAGCCATCTTACCATCTCATGGGAGACTTTTGTATATTGTTTGAGCTAGGACTGTGCTCTGTAGCCTTGGCCAACCTGGAACTTGATATGTAGACCAGGTGGGCCTGGAACTCACAGAGATCCCTTGATTCTGCCTCCCCAGTGCTGGGATTACAGGTATTTACCACCATACCTGACCCTCAGCAGTTCAACACCATGGAGACTATTTTCAGGAGCCACTGGAAATAATTTGGTCATCTTCACTCATCAGTTCCTGCTTCATGCCTATATTATTTGTTTATTTTTCTCTGAGACAGGGTTTCCCAATGTACTCTTGGTTGGCATTAAACTTTCAGTGATCCTCCTGCCTCTGCCTTTCTTGTTCTTTGATTCCACAAATGTGTCACCACACTAGGCTTGATGCCTTACACTCTGCGGTGGGAATTGAATTCAGGACCTTGTGCTTGCTGGGTAAATTCTCTTCTGCTGAGCCAACTCCCCATCACTATAGAGTTCATTTAGTCAAGTCTGCCCTAGAATTGGAGCTTGAAATGTAGCTGAGGATAACCTTGAACTCTTTTATTATATTTACTCTTTGAAACAGAATAAATCAGTTTGTGTGTAACGCTGGCTAGTTTGAAATTCACTCTGCCTCTGCCTCCTGAGTTCTACTGGACTCATAATAGACCAGGCTGGCCTCATATTCTTTGTGTTCCATCTGTCTTAGCTTCTTAAGAACTGGGATTGTAGGTATGTGTCATATTGCCTGGCTTGCCTTTTGTTTTTAAAGGATTAATTTGTGTGTGTGTGTGTGTGTGTGTGTGTGTGTGTGTTGGTGTCCATGGAAGCCAGAAGAGGGCATTGGGATCTCCTGGAGCTGGGGATACAAGTGGTTGTGATCTGTTTGATGTTGGGAACTGAACTTTGGTCCTCTGGAAAAGTAAGAGGTCTTAATCAGGCCCCCTTCCTTTTATAGTTATTTATTTCGTTTTTTTCCCCTCCTCTTTTTCAAGGTAGGGTTTCTCTGTGTAACAGCTCCAGAAAACTCACTCTATAGACCAGGTCGGCTTCGAGTACAAAGAGTTGGCCTGCCTCTGCTTTCCAAGTGCTGGGATTAAAGGGTATGAGCCATCACTGCCTGGCTTTACTTGGTTTTTGAGACAGGGTTCTCTGTAGACCTGGCTATTCTGGAACTCACTATGTGAACCAGGATGGTCTTGAGCACAGAGATCCATCTGCTTCTGCCTCTGGAGTGGGGGGATTAAAGGCGTATATGTATACCACTGGAGGTGAAAGTTTCTGTCCCACAAGCTGCTCCCAAGTAACTGTCTCGGAGGCTTAATAGTTATTGTAAGTGCTCAGCCAATAGATCAGGCTTGTTTCTAGCTAACTCTTACATTTTTAATTAACCTATATTTTTATCTATGCTTGCCATGTGGCTTGGTACCATTTCTCAGTACGGCATGTCCCTCTTCTCTGCATCTGCTGGCAACTCCAGACTCTACCCTTCTTCTTCCCAGAATTCTTCTAGTCATAGCGACATATATTCACACAGAGTAAAGGAATATTCAACAGTATACAACCATGCTGAGCTTTATTTATTTACTTATTTTGAGACTGCGTTATTTATTTATATTTATTTGGATCTCACTGTGCAGTAATGGTTGGCCTGGAACTCACAGAGACCTGCCTGCCTCTTCTTCTGGAGTGTTGGATTCAAGGCATGCACCAGCCTGATCCTACCCCTCCTCATCCCTCCCCTTTGGACAGTACTTAGGACCTTGTATTTGCTAGGCAAGTCCTCCACTACTTGCTGAGGAGTACATGCAGCTCTAGAACTCTGTTTTTTCCTTGTTCTTTTTATGATAAGGTCTCCTGTAGCTCAGGCTGGCTACAAACTCCCGAGGTAAGAGAATGACTATGTACTTTTTTTTTTAAGCAGAAAGAACAAGTAGAGTGTATTTTATGTGTATTGATGTTTTGTCTGAATGTATGTCTGTGTACTGTGGGTGCGCTTCGTTCCTGCAGAAGCCAGAACAGGGCTTTGGGGTCTCTGAAACCTGAGTTACAGAAGGTTGTGAGCTGTCATGTGGGTTACTGGAAATTGAACCCAGGTCTTCTGAAAGAGCAGCCATTGTCCTTAACTACTGAGCTAAGCTATCTCTCCAGCCCAGGAACAGATTTATTAAAGAAAAGCAAAGAGACAAGGTTGACAAGGGAGGAATATTAGGCCTAGAACTTCTGATCCTTTGCCTCTGCTTGTTTAGATTATAGGGAGGGCCACCGTGCCTGACTTTGTTCAAAGCTGGGGATCCTTGTGCACCCTAGGCAAGTACTCTACCAACTCAACCCTACAACTTTTTGTCTACTTTTCCAAAAGTAGGGTCGGGTGCCAACAGTGTGTCTTTTTGTTGTTGTTGTTTTTTGTTTTTCTTGCTTTGTTGTTCATAGTTGACATCAACTCCCCAGGGCTCAGGGATCTTCTTTCAGCTTCCAAGTCTTGGCTAGTGTCTCAGATCATATTTACTTCCTTTGTAGCACTTAACTTTTTGTATCAATTACAGCTTGAGCTGATTCTGTTTATTGGCTATATTTTAATATGAAAGTCTTTGAGGGTAAGGATTGTTCGTCTCTTTAGGTCTTGACTAAGTCGTTTCTGAACATATATTTGTTGAATGTGCATCAAGGTTGAGCTCCATCCCGAGAGGAGAGCAATTATTTTTTGGAGCTCTGAGGGATGAACCTCATAGGGGAGCCCTTGGTAAGCCTTGTTGAGAGGATCCACTGACATTTCAGAGATCACTGGCACGGTAGAGGAGAGCGGCCGGTGGGTACACTGGATAGGAGGGGAGGCACCAGAGAGGGCGCCGACAGGGTCGTGGAGCCTGGTGTTTTGAATAATGCCTGCTTGTTTTTTTTATGTGTGGTGATGATGCTACACGCTGGGCAGACTTTCCCTAGTTTCATAAATATTTAATTGGCTTTTTCAGGAGAATAAAAGCAGCCCCGTTGATGACTGAAAATGACAAAGCATCCACCTAACAGACGAGGAATCAGCTTTGAAGTGGGAGCCCAGTTGGAAGCTCGGGACCGTTTAAAGAACTGGTACTTTTCTGTTTTTTCTGCTAATTAAAGCACTCTAGGGAGGGAGTCTCACAGTACCCATAGAGTGGTGCTGCTGTCCTGTTTTCCGGCTTCTTGGAAGATGAAGGGAAACAAGTTTAGAATACTGGCCTGTCCTTTCTCCCTGGTACAGGGACCCCTGGGTCACATTTGTTCTTCCTTCTCCTGTTTGATGGAGTTATGGTAAAGCGGAGCAGGGGTTGCCCTGGGAAGGGAAGCTTTCTCACTCTTGGCTGCCTGTTTGAAAGAAGAGCAGAAGCGAGACAGAGCTGAGGGGATGGATAGATGGCAACAGCACCCATCATCACAGCCCTTCCTGTTTTCTGGGTGTGGTGTGGGATGGCTAAGAATTGTTACACAGGGTAATTGCTTGAGAAGCTGAGGGTTTTTTGACTGCTTTGCTGAATTTTGCTTGTTTTGTGTGAAAAAGTGTCTGGTAACTAAGGCTGACCTTCAGTTGAGAGCTGAGCCTCCTTAATGCTGGGATTACAGGTCCCTGCAACTGTGCCTGGCTTGTGTTAATTGCCTTTTGTCCTCTGGCTGCTTTGAAGGTTCATGTCATCTATAAATGTGGTCACTGGTAATGTTGGCATGTGGAGATTATTCTAAGAGTCATATATTGAATATCTGGAGAGCAATCTTCCAAACTAAACATACATGGGTGTGGTGGTACACATCTGTTCCTCAGTAGCTGGGAGGCTAAGGTAGGAAGGTTACTGCGAACTGGAGCATAGCCTGGCATAGTGAGTTTCAGGTCAGCATAAACTACAGAGTGAAATCCTGACCCCAAAAATCCAAACTAGCCAGCAGATATTCAGGTTTAGTTGGTAGGGTATTAGTTTATCATGCCCAAAGCCTGGGTTTGATCCCAGCACTGGATAAATCAGAGGTGGAGAGGTAGAGGCAGGGGTGTCAGAGGTTCAAGGTTATCCTACCTGCTGCATAGTGAATTTGAGGCCAGCTATGGTTATATGAGACCCTACCTGAGAACAAGAAGAAAAAGAAAAACAGGACAGCTACAAAGATAGCTGTAGTTGAGAACATCCTAGAATTTGGTTATTTTGTGGTGCTCCAAAACATAGTTAGAAGTTTCAGAACACAAACCTTTTGAATTTTTCTAAGGAATAGCTTAGCCCTTATGATAGTTTTCTCAGAATAGAATTGATTTCTGGGATGTAGGGTAACAACAGGGAAATGGCTTGGGTAGAAAACTGCCCATGCTATTAGGATCAAAGACCCTGGAACTAGAGAGTGAGTTTGATGATGAAATACTTGTCAGGTATAGGTGAGGCCCTGGGTTCAGTCTCTAGCACCTCAGAAATAAAAGAAAATATGGTTTGGTTGTATTTGTACTGGCTGTGGACAGAATTACTGATTCTATAATTATTTTTATGTTGGTTTCAGCTATTTTGTATTTTTTGTGTGTGGGGGCAGTGCATGTATGTGCATGTTTTCAAGTGCATTTGCCTGTGTGTGCATGCATGGTAGTCATTTTCCTGTAGATGAATGTGGAAGGAAGCATTAAATGAATTCTTCTGTCACTGCCCACCTTATTTTTCAAGACAGTCACTCAGAGAACCTGGCTGACCAGAGAGGCAGCATGACCTGCCTGTCTCTTTCCCTTCCACAAGCAATGGGCCCTGTGTCTAGTGCTGGGGATTCAAACTCAGGCCCTCGTGTTTCCTTGAACCGTTCCCAGCCCTTCAGTCAGTTGTTCTCCCCATCCCTTCTGGCCATCAAGGGGAGGTGGACATTGAACCTAGGACTTTGTGCATGTTAGACAATTGTTTCTTCTATTCCCTGCCTGTATTTCTGGTTTAGTTTGCTTTCCACTGCTGTGATTAAATATGACCAAAAACAACCCAGGAAGGAAAGGCTCTCATGTCTGGATCATAGTTCATGCCTGAGGGAAGCCAAGGCAGGAACTCAAGCAAGGTAGGAACCTGGAATCAGGAACTGAATGAAGCAGAGATCACAGAGGAATGTTTCTACAGGCTTGCTTAGTTTGTTCTCTTGTATACTCTGGGACCACCTGCCCAGGTATGGCATGACGTAAGTGGGTGATCTCTTCCCACATAAATTGTTAACCAAGAAAATGCCCTTACATACTTGCTTACAGACCCGTGTGATGAGGTATTTTTTCAATTGATAGTCCTTTCTCCAGATGTTGACAAATTTTAAATTTATTTTTCTTTATTATTCTCCTGTGTGTGTGTGTGTGTGTAAGTTTATGTCTGTAAACATCTGTGCATTTGTGGAGGTCAAAGGACAACTTGTAGGAGTCACTCCTTTACTGTAGAGTCAGAGAAACTCAGGCCATAAGGGATGTAGAAAGTACTTTTATGTATTAAACCATCTTGCTGACTCTGGTTTTGACATTTTTGTTCATTTGTTTGTGTGAGAAAGGGTTTCTCTAGAACTCAGAGATCTCTATTTCTCTGTCTCTCCAGTGCTGGAATTAAAGGTGTTCACTATTCTGGCTTTGGTTTGGACTTTTTTTTTTTTTTTTTTTTTTTGGTTTTTCGAGACAGGGTTTCTCTGTGGCTTTGGAGGCTGTCCTGGAACTCACTTTGTAGACCAGGCTGGCCTCGTGGTTTGGACTTTTTTTAAAAAAGTGTGCATTATTATTTTTCCTGCGTGTATGGCTGTGTGAGGGTATTGGATCCCCTGGAACTGGAGTTGCAGGCAGTTATGAGCCGCCATGTGGGTGCTAGGAACTGATCTTAGGTCCTCTGGAAGAACAGCCAATTCTCTTCACCACTCTCTAGCCCCATTTTTGTTTTTGTTTTTGTTTTGTTTTGCTTTTGACACAGGGTTTCTCTGTATTGTTTTGAAGGCTGTCCTGGATCTTACTCGCTCTGTAGACCAGGCTGGCCTTGAACTCACAGAGATCCACCTGCCTCTGCCTCCCAAGTGCTGGGATTAAAGGCGTGCGCTACCAACACCCATCCCCTTGTTACATTTTTTCTCTTTTTCTTCCTTTTTTTTTTTTTTTTAAATTTAAGTTAGAAACAAGCTTGCTTTACATGTCAATCCCAGCTCCCTCTTCTTCCCCCTTATTACATTTTTATATTAGATTTATTTGAATACTGAACTCAGATCATCAGGTCTGGCTGCAATCTCCTTATGTTACTATGCCATCTTGCCAGCCCTCCTAAACTACATGTATGTATTTATGTATGTATTATGTATGTATGTATGTAGGTAGGTAGGTAGGTAGGTAGGTAGTATAAGTAAGGACAATTCGCAGGAGTGGTTTCTCCTTCTACTGTGCGGGTTCCAGAGGTGGAACTCAGTCACCATGCTTGGTAGTGAAACCTTTACCTACTGAACCATCCTGCTGCCCTTTTTTTCCTCCTTTTTTCAAATTTAAATTGGAAACAAGCTTGTTTTACATGTCATTCTCAGTTCCCTCTCCTTCCCCTTCTCCCTTGCCCCCACAGTCCCCCTATCCCATCCCCTTTCTACTTCCCAGGGAGGGTGAGGCCTTCCATGGGGGATCTTCAAAGTCTCCTGCTGCCCTTTTAAACTTTTTTTATTTAAAAATTTAAATAAATTATTATTATTATTATTATTTTGGCAACAAGGTCTTACTGTGGCCAGTCTTAACTTCTGATTCTTATCTCCTAAGTGCTGGAATTATAAGCATGGACATTATGTCTGGTTTATGCCTAATGGAAGATCTAGCATATTGGGCAAGCGCTCTACCAATTTGTTTTTAACATAGCAGACTTTATGTCAGGCAGTGAATAGAATGCTCTCTTGCTTGCTCTGGGTCTTGACTAGGAGACAAGAGTGGGCTTTTAGTGGAGTCTGTATTCTGCTCTGTGTCAAGAGACAGCATAAGGTCTCAGGAAAGGGCAGGCTGGAGCCCTGAGTTAAGCTTAATTGAACATTTGTGCACAAGCAGAGTGTAAGGAAGCGGGTGTCAGCTAGTTGATCAGGCCCATTGGGTGCAGGTGATAAAGTCTGAGTCCTTACATCATGCTCAGATAAGTTTAATGTCTTAATTGCCCTTCCAAATATCAATAGCAAATCAATAGACCAGCCTGTGAACTTCAGATTGTGGTTTATCACAGTGCTTAAAAACCCTGTCTGGTAGTTGGGCATATACCTTTAATCCCAGCACACTGGAGGCAGAGGTAGGTGATTCTCTGTGATTTCAAAGTCAGTTTGCTCTACAAAGTGAGTTCCAGGATAACTAGGACTATTACACAGAGAAACCCTGTCTGGAAAAACAAAAAGAAACAAACATCCCTGACTTGTACAGTAAGAAATGACTGTATCAGAACAAGGTACTCTAGATTAAAGGCGTGCGCCACCAACGCCCGGCTTGTATTTGATGTTTTATATTAGCAAGTAAATACAGTCATAATTATTATTGTCTTGAGATAGGGTCTTGCACTGCAGTCCAAGCCAACTTCCAACTCACTGTGACCCTTCTGCCTTGGGTGGTGTGGTAGTGTCTATTGTTACTGTTGTTTTTGAGATAAAGTCTTAACTATAGCTGTAGCTGGTGTGGATTAAAGGTGTGTATCACTGCACACAGCAGTTTTTATTGTTATTATATTATTGCATCTTTAAAATATTTATTTATATACATGGAACTTTTGCCTGCATGTATGTCTATGTGAGCATGCCAGATCCCTTGGAACTGGAGTTATAGATAGTCATAAACTGCCATGTGGGTTCTGGAATTTGAACCCGGGTCCTTTGGAAGGATGGCTAACCTCTGAACCATCTTTCCATCCACTATTTTATTACATTTTTATTTATCTTGTGTGTGTGCACATGTGTGGGGAAGTCAGTGGATAATTGTAGCAGTCAGTTCTCACCTTCTACCCTGTGGGTTCTGGGGATTGTGATTGGCATTGTAGGTTGAATTTCTACTTTTTAACAACTGTGCAAGTGCTCACTGGCCTGAACATTTCATTGTTTGCTTAGATCATTGCTTCTGAATGCTTTGGTGTAGAGGGAAGTCG